GTCTCCGTTCTTGCTTGGGTTTGATGCTAACAAGTTTGTGTCACATTTTGTCCGGCAACAAGCTGAAGGTTCTGCTGGTTGCTTAGGCAGTGAGCAGTGAGCAGTGAGCACATCGCACGGGCTGCCGTGCTGGCCGATTTTGTTTCTCTGGGTGACTCTACGGTCTAGTCCACCTGACCTCTTGCTGTAAAACAATTTGTCCGTGGGATCCGAGACAGACAAATATATAGGAGCAGTGCAAACTAAAAAAAAGACGTAAACATACAAACTCCTTTAAAACACATATAGTTCTATTATTTGAAAAAAAAATAAACAAAGAACATCCATAGTGCATCCTTACACTTCCGGATTCTCCATGAGAAGAATCACGACCGTATGGATATCAGGATACTGTATGAAGTGGTGAGTAAGATTAGAGCACATGAGATGTCTCTTTATGGAGAGATTGGAGACTCCTCCATTAACACGAATCTTGCCTTCAAACTTGGTGCTAGTAAGAATACCAAATACCAGGAAGGAGAAGATCGACCCAGGATGACTCAAGTGAAGAAGAGTAGGTGTATGCTCTCCCCCAAACTTGGCAAGGATGCTCATAACTACAACCCAAAAAGAACAAAATCAAGCCAAGAAAGTTTACGTGAGAGGACAATGCTACAATTATGATGAAGATCCTCAGTGATTGGGGCTTAAGGGGCTCACATACCGACAGTACGGGGCTCAACCCATGGGTGCCAGCGAAGATCATGCTTGTGTGGAGGTCGATGAGGTGGTTAGTGCCCCGCCACCATGGAGCTAGATCTTTCCATGGAGCTCGAACACGATGCTAGCATATGCCACATGGCCTTGGGAGAGAACTAAAGTTGTGGCCTAGATCAACCACTATATTTTTTTTTGCGAATAACCACTATATTGATAACTCAAATGTCTTACAAAAGAAAAAAGAATACGATAGCTATGCTAGACTCCTAAAGACTACTTTCGGAGCTCAAGCTTAGTTCGACTCAACTATAACTCCCAACTAAACTGCATGAACTAAAGAGAGCTAATGAAAACGTGATTCCTTCTTTTTCCTGTGTTGTGTGTGGAGAGTGGCGCTAAGGCCCTCCATAGTGTTTGGCTTAGAGTGGTGCTCCAAAAGACAGAGAGTGTTTGAGCACCACTTTGTATACTGCAATTACTAGTGCCCAAGCTAGAGAATTTGAGAGCGATGAATGTACAAGCTCTGATGCCCGTTGACTAAACATATGAAAAAAATATGCATGGTCTTCATTCCCACTCTCTCAAGCCATCATTGCTATTATCGTTTATCTATTTCACTTGTATGGTGGAATCTAGCCAGCAATATCTACCACTGCAGTTCAAAATGAGTGATGCAATTCTCTTATGTGGATCACTTTTTGTTCTAGGCACCGCTAGCACACTGTAGAGGACCTAACACCCCTATCTTATTTATAGTGAATGGAGCAGAGATACTTAGGGCCTGTTTGGCAGGGCTTCTCTCCGGCTTTGGCTCCTCTAGAGTAGCTCTGCCAAACGTTTTTCTGGAAGAATAGTTTTCAGTAAAAAAACAGAGGAGCCGGAGACATTTTGGAAAAGTCACAAATTGTGGCTTCTCCAAAGCACTCGGCTTCTGTGAAAAGGCCTCTCGGAGAAGCCGCGCTAGACACCCCTTATAGATGAATGATTTTATTGAATTCAGAAGAAAAATATTTATATGCTTCCGCTTGAGACGTACTTTTAGCTTAAGACAAGAAAAAAAAAGTATTGGTCCCACTGCTGCAATTTTTTTATATCTCTACTACTAAAAAGAACCAAAGAACCAAATGTTATCGTCTCGGCAAAACTAATCGGCCTCCTGCCCCTAATCGCGTCGCTCGAAAAAAAACGGAACGCCCACGCGGCCTCCGAATATAAAAAAAACCGGACCGCTCTCTCTATCGCCTCCGATGCGGCTCATCTCCCACGCCTCCCACATCGCCGCCAACGCCCGCCTCTATGCCATCCCGCACGGCGCACCCACTCCCACGACGCCGCTAGCCCCTGCACGCCGTCGCCAGGGCCGCGCTGCCGTCGTCGCTGGACGCCACTGGCGAGGCCGCCTCCGTCGTCAGCGCCAGCACCGACGCTGGGTCGGCATGCTTCTATCCACCAGCGTGCTCGTTGTCCGTGGAGAAGGAGGTGGGAGATGGTAGCAGCGGCGGCACTGCAGGGGAACGGGTGAAGCGGCGAGGGTTGCGGTGGGTTGGAGGCCGCGGATCCAGATGATGTGTCCGCGCCCGTGAGGAGGATCCTCGTGGCGCTGTGCCGGGCGCATCCACCGCCGCAGAAGTCCAGGAAAGTGCCGCGACGGTTGGAGGTGTTCCTTTTTCTCTACTAGAAATCCGTATGCGTAGCCGCACCATCGTTGCCACCAGAAGAGCAGAGGACGACGCCTGCTTCTCCCCAAATGGCGACGACCCCCACCGCCGTCTCCCGCGCCAACGCCGCCGGTCAACAGCGTGCTGCGTCCCGGTTCGTGCCTGTTCATTCCCCCCTGATCTGGATCTCTCTTGATTCGTATTTGTGTTGTGTGGTTGTAGTCAAATCTGTATTATGCCTTGTGCTCCTAATCTGCTTACACTTTCTAGATGATTTAGTTTTCAAACAAAAAATACAGAGAAATGATGTACCACTGCATTTTGGTGGTTTTCACAAAAAAACATTTTATAATTTTTAATCCAATTACTTAAATCACAATGTGGTACCACAGAGCTTACTGCCTACTAAGAGAACTTTGAATTTATCCTTCAGTATCAACAGTATATCATGTCGAAGTGCAGCTCATTGATGTCAGATTTTTCATCATGTTTTGCTTTAATTCATAGTCTCTATGGAACTCCTGAATTCCAGCTACTTCCATTTTCTTTGTGCATAATTTTGAAGGAGGTGAAGAAGGAATTAAGCCGGGAGAGCGAGAGATTCCAGCAACCATTGAATGGAGTAGGTACCCAAGTTTCCTTCTGCATTTGTGATCTACCGTAGAGGGGAATAAGCTCAAAACTTAATTAAACTGAACACAGGAGGTAAAATTAATTTGGGATATGGATTGCTCTAAACTGAAATATTTTTTCATGATATGTTCGTGATCAGTGGTTTAGAAAGCCAAGCTAGCCATACTATTGTCAGGTGCCCTGTTGCAAGATCTCTGCAGCAGGTAATGAAGAAAAATTCAGGTTTCCGGGTGAGAACAGCGGAGGACTGATGAACCAGAGTTGCAATTACAGAAAAATAGGTGCTCAAACATGATGCACCTGCACTTCTGTAGATCCCATGCTAACCATTACTACGGGTGCTTTAGCTAAATGCCACGGCTATTTTTTTTATTTTGATCTGTTCCACACGACTATTTTTGTAATTCTACATACTGAATAGAATCTTCCCAATAGCATTCCATCTGTTCGACTCTGTTGGTTAGAATAGCAGTTTTAACTTTGCCATTAGTCTTTGTATCATTGCCCATCTTTCCTTTCAAGGGGCTGCGAAATGGTTGACAATGAAGAGCAGTATGCAAAATACCCGAGTTTTGATTTTCTACCACAGAAAAAGTGAAATCGGTTGAATGTGATAGGAGAAAGCAGGTAATATAGGAACCTCCAAGAAAAGGGTATGTTTCTGAAATTTAGATTGGTATTTTAAGCATTACTTCATAATCTCTATTTTAGGTTTATTTCAACTTAAAGCATAATTGAACTTGATATTCTTTTGGGTACGAACTTTGATCAATATAGGGTTAGGGAATCTAGAACTTTGGTGGCTATACCTCTTTTGTATAGCAGTATATGTGTTCAGAATTTGAAAACAGATTTATTGAGCAGTGACAAAGTGAATCCATGTTTTGCTTGGTTTACTTGATCATCAGGCTTGGATTTCCTATGGCCGTTTCTTGTTCTTTTACATGTACGCTTTTAAATGGGCATCTGCACACATGTGAGAGTTTCGGTTCCAGCATTTTAGGAATTTTGACCACTAATCTATGGCGAACTTAGGGCATTAGATGATCTAACTTGATCTTTTGTTGACTGAACCTTACCGATAATTATATTTAGCACAGATCCATGCGTGGGATGCCATCTGCAAGCACCGTCACCTCCCGTACCTGTCTGGTTGTCTTCCCGGCTCTCCTGGTGGAGGCCGAGAATGCAGCTGCTGCAATGGAGGGTTGGCTGCAAACCGATGCGCAAGGGTTGCGTCGAGTGCCTCATGTTTGTATGTATTTGCAATCATGTACTGCTTTTCACAAACATGATTAATATTTGATCACTAATATATCATAAGATTCTACGTATACCCGTAGCAATGCACGGGCGCTCAACTAGTGCCGAGAGAAATGTGTCATCGACGTCTACAAATGGAGAACTTTTGCTTAACCAATGGTTACGGTTCCCAAGTGCGCATCATCACATGAATTCCTTGCTCAAATCGTACAGTACCATCCAGATCCAGCGTTTTTCCAGATCTCGCCTTCGTCCAACTCTAACAGAGTACTCCTCCCGCCGGAATATCCTAAACTCCAGCCGGGATATTTATGTGCAATCTCAGTCATCCGCCACGTTCCCTGACCGTTATCATCGGCACCCATAGAATGAAGCTCCCGCTCTGCCCCGCGGCCACGGGTATCCGCGCCAGTTCAACCCCGCGCCCGCACCCCGGTGCGGCACGGATCCCACCGGGCGCAGCGCACGACCTCCACAAGTCAGAACGGCCACTGCCCGGAAATCGCCCGCCTCCGCTCCGCTGCGCTCACCACACCAACACACACGCTCCTCCCGCCTCGTTGCTCACCTCCTCCGACGTCTGATCGGCATCGCCTTCGCCTCCGCTAAAAAGACCCGCGGTCCACGCTCCCCTCCAAATCCCATCCCATCGCCATAAATCTCGCCACGCCGTCGCCCGCGCGCGTCTCTCCCTTGTCCCTTCCCCCCACCACTCCGCCACCGGCGCCGAATTGAAGCAGAGCAGCCATGGCCGGCTCCGAGCAGCGCGTCGTCGCCGTCATCATGGTCGGCGGCCCCACCAAAGGTTAGTGCTGCTAGATCTGCGCCGCGCCACCCCACCCCGGAATCCCTCCTCCCTCTGCCCTCTCGTCTGATCGGTTCGCTCTGGTGCTGGTGTCGGGTGCAGGGACGCGGTTCCGGCCGCTGTCGCTGAACGTGCCCAAGCCGCTCTTTCCTATCGCCGGCCAGCCCATGGTGCACCACCCCATCTTCGCCTGCAGTCGGGTAAGCCACCAATTCCTGCGCTCCCTTGTCGTTTGTGGAATTGTGGTGCTTGTATGGTTCAGTCTGCGGCTCGTATGAAACAAGCTTTTGGATCCCGTTGCTGCAGATCCCCAACCTGGTACAGATATACCTCATCGGGTTCTATGAGGAGCGGGAATTCGCGCTCTATGTCTCGTCTATCTCCAACGAGCTTAGGATCCCTGTCAGGTTCGTTTCGTGCCCTGATGATGTTTGCTTCTGCGGTGTTGGGCTGGGTGCGCTAGGGAGATTTCAGAGCCGTGCCATTGACAGGGTCTCGCCAATTTTAGGTACCTGCGAGAGGATAAGCCTCACGGGTCAGCTGGAGGGCTCTACAGCTTTAGAGATTACATCATGGAAGACAGTCCGGTAATGACTTTGTGCCATATTGTCAGCTTGAATTGGAAATTGGATATTTCTAAAGCTGCAGTAATGCAGTGGATTGCTTCATCCACATCTTTTTGAATAGTGTGCTTATTCATAACACATTCAGTGGCTGGGGTTTGTAGGAATCTACTACATTGATATGCCGGTTGGGTGAAGAAAGTTTCATCCTCTAAAAGTTGGTTACTGTTTTTGCTTCCCGTTTTGCAGTCACACATAGTTCTGCTGAACTGCGATGTCTGTTCTAGCTTCCCCCTTCCAGACATGCTGGGTAGGTTGCCAAGTAACTGAAGCATACTCTTCTATCTCGTTGGTTCAATTTATCAGTTTGGTGATGGTGTTTCATGATCTTAGACACAAGCATGGCAAGTGTAATAATTGAACATCATGAGGTTCTTCTTTGCTTTGCTGTTTAGAACGAATGATAGCATGTCCACTTGTCATCAAGGTCATGTCTGACATTGTTCTTGTTCCCCTGGTGGGGTTTAGTCAGAGTAAGTGGAATGGAAGTGTAGTGGTTGGTATTTAATCCGAAGCTGAGCTTGTCTTTAGTAGCTTGTTTTTGGCATATTCATGGGTTGCATCTAATAGAGATTGCATCCGCCTCTAATCTACGGTATTTTATGTAAGGTCAGTAAAATTGTGCTGTGATGAGTGTATGCTTTAAAGTATTGTTAGTATAGTGCACAGACAACAATGAAATGATCGACCATTATGTGAATCAATGGTAAATAAGTCACTTCCAATTTTAAGTGTTCTGTACATGGACGCTTCACTCCAAAAGAGTGTTTTAAAGATAATTTAGATGTGCTGATTTACTTTATCATTGGACGATAAGCTCTTTTTCACAAAAGGGTAGACTTTACATCTTCATCCATCCAAATTCTTGGGTTTCTATCTCTGACATAATTGAGAGTATGAAACAGATATTTTAGCTTCTGAGTTTTTTTTTTTTGAAATATTGATAGAAATCAACCGTTTATTCCCAGATACTTTGTCAATCCTTTTTTCATTACCTTTCTATATTGCTTCACAATATGCATCTGAACTTTTATTGTTATCCACCTATAGTTTTGTTGATTAGAGAAATAGGAGATATAAGTCAAACTTGTCCAATAATAGTAAGTGCTACACTTTTTAATAAGCACCTTTTGTTGTAAGATATTAGATAACTCCATCTGCATAGCTTCTTGTTGGATACCAACAGCTAAATGTATCACTGTTTTCGTCATTGTAGAGGCCCATAAAAAGTATGGAGGAATGGGTACTTTACTAGTCAACAAGGTATGCTAATACTATTCCAAAATATCGCAGATTAATCCTGTCTTTCTCATGCATAATTTGCTACTCTTAACATCATCCCACTTTAAATATTCTATGCTAACACTTTCAATCAGGTATCTGCAGAGTCAGCAAACCAGTTTGGCGAGTTGGTAGCTGATCCTGAAACAAACGAACTGCTACACTATACGGAAAAGCCAGAGACTTTTGTGAGTGCAGTTCTGCTCTTTGTTGCTTTATTTGCTCGTCTATATTTTCAGTTGAGCCTTTGCATGCCATATTTGGCTCTGAAATCGATTGCAGTTTTCAGAAGTAATGGCTCTCAATGAGTAATTGGCTTAGCTGATAGCAGTAATACAGTTTATCTATATGTAGGTGAGTGATCTCATAAATTGTGGAGTATATATATTTACTCCCAATATCTTTAGCGCCATTGAGGATGTCTTAAAACAGAAAAAAGACAGAGGTATTGTCCCCTGTTATGTTACGACGTTTTTTCTTTGAAACATGTGTTATTGTTTCAAACAAAACATTCTTCGTTTATTCTATTGCTTCAAATGTCAACTTCTCTTAACTGAGTAGATGTAAATGCCTTCTTTACTTTTGATACAAGTCACTTGGAAAAATTTTATTTGCTTTGCCTATTATTGAAATTCGTAATATTAATTCTGACGTGGATGCTCTAAAATGTATTACATGTAGCAGATATTCTAACTCGGTCTTCTAGTCCCCTTGATTGACAGTTTATTTTACCATCACAAGTTTAATCCCTTTAAATTTAAATGCTACATTTCAGCAAATTTGCGGCGTGTATCTAGCTTTGAAGCTCTTCATTCAGCAACCAAGTATGTATTTGTGTTATATTCTTCATGTTTTTTACAAATCTTGTTTGGCCTGCAGTTATCCCCTTTCTCTTCACCATTATGTGGAGATTCTTCCAGAAACTAGCTAGTATATAATTGATAGCGCTGCCATTAATTCAACTACAAAGTATTATTATTATGTAGACCTTATAAGCTTAATATCAACAGGGCGCTTCCACCAGACTTTGTTAGGTTAGATCAAGACATTTTATCCCCTCGAGCGGGAAAGAAGGAGCTGTACACATACCAGACGCTTGATTTTTGGGAACAGATCAAAACCCCAGGGTATACAGATTTTTTTTTTCATGTTTTTTTGTAATATATTGGAATTTCTGACACCATTTCTTCATCTTGAGTAGGATGTCTTTGAGATGCTCTGGGTTATATCTTTCTCAGTTCCGCCGTACCTCTCCTCATCTTTTAGCCTCAGGAGATGGCAAAAGAACTGCCACTATTGTTGGCGATGTGTATATCCATCCATCTGCCAAGGTGCATCCTACTTCAAAGGTAATGTCTGTTTCATCTATCTATTTTGGTCAGATTATGATGGATCATACTCAGTTGGTGGTTGTTGACTGACTGACAATGAAGTGCTTAAAGCTTTTAATAGAGGAATCTATTTAAGAAACAAAATGTAACTAATCATGTAACTCTATAAACAGATTGGCCCCAATGTCTCTATATCAGCAAATGCGCGCATTGGAGCAGGTGCCAGGCTTATCAATTGCATAATTCTGGATGATGTTGAAATTATGGTTGGTTTTCTGTCTCTGTACGAAGTGATAAACCTCGTTTAGGAACATGAATATCTCATTGTTGTATTCTCTTTCTTTTTTGTTTGTGTATCAGGAAAATGCTGTTGTTATACATTCAATTGTGGGGTGGAAGTCATCCATTGGAAAATGGTCACGTGTACAGGCAAGCTTTTCTCTTTACCATTTCATTTTATTCACTTCAAATTTAACGAATCCTCATTCTGTATGAAGCTGAAAAACTTTGCCTTATGACTCTTTGTCAAGTTCAATTCAAGCAGCATGACTGCATGAGCAATGTCCTAGTGTTACATTGTTAATTTTTTCTCTGCCAAGGTTATGCTTCTGAAATCTGAACAGTTCAGCACATCTAGTTTTCTTGAATCGAAGTTTGATAGTTCCAATTGCAAACCTAATACATTCCATGGTGACATTTGAATGCAAATAGTTTAGTTATGACAGTCAAAATCGGTGAGACTGTGCATGCCTGCATGGTCTACTCTTTTTCTTGGCACATCAGCTGTCTTCATGTAATGAAACTTTTGTTCTGAATTCAGGGCGAAGGTGATCACAATGCCAAACTTGGCATTACTATTCTTGGTAAGACCCAAACTTCACGATTTGCTGTTGCCTTCCACATTTTTTTTTGGGTGAAAATTTCGTTTCTGGAATTGACATCCTATCTTAACACAGGTGAAGCAGTTGATGTTGAAGATGAAGTAGTTGTAGTTAACAGCATCGTGCTCCCAAATAAAACTCTCAATGTCAGTGTCCAAGAGGAGATCATCCTATAATAGCTTTTTTTTTTTATCCCAAATAAGGTCTGAGTACCAATCACATAGTTTATGCCTATTCGTTCTCACCATGTAATCTTCCATTTGATTGATATTATTAGTTTGTATCTATACCCATCTTGCAGCATGTCACTTCACAATGGACTTGCTATGCTACTTTGGTTAGCGAGTGTGGTGATGTAAAAAAAATGTACAAACAGGTGACACCATTTTTGTTGAGAATGACTGAATGAACACTTTACATCAAATGCGAGTTCAACTGCGTGTTTATTTTTTTTTAACCAAAGAGCATGAGCAGTTGAGCACTACAATATCACACAAGAGAAAGTTGTTGCAAACTCAAGGGGCTCAGGAAGTGAGCGTAGCTTCAAATTCTCTCTTGGCTTGAATTTGGATGTCAATTTTCCTGTTTTCTCTTCTTAATGAAAAACTGCCAGGGCTCAACGCTTGAGCTTAGTAGGGGTCTCTAAGGCATCTATTATCTCTCTTTTGTAAGGACGAAGATCTATACCAGCGGTTGCATTTTTCAATAAAAAAAATTCAGGCTGCTGTTCTGTGCTCTCATGGCGCAGCAAGGTCCTTTCCACTTTGCATTTTAAAGAAAAGGTACAAAAGCATATTTACCAGAACCTTGGCCGTATCGCTTGTCCAAGATCTCAGACTCAACAGGTAATATTATCTTCAGTCTTGCTACTATAATGTGAACTAGTACGTAGGCTAAGTTAACTGCCATTCAGATAACAAATGCCATACTGTTATCAGTGCTTTCAGAGCACTAATTGTTGGGTAAAACGTGCAGACAATGCTAAGAAATAAGCTGGCTTTGCATTATATATATAATTTACATGTCATGGGTTAGTGCTAACTGATAACTCCTGTACCAAAAAAAAAACTTTCAGTTGCACATTGTACCAAAATACAAATGCCACAGCCAACAGCATTGCCAATGGGATGGAAACTGTGAGACCAGTACCACTGTACCAGCAATCTACAACGCTGGGCATGGCACATTTCCGACCTACCCTTAAATTATCCTACCATCAAACTATTTTCTGCATCGCCTGCAGCATTACTGCAAAAACCATTCTCCAGAGTCCAGACTTCACTTATGGCAATCTTCAAGGAAAGATGTAGGGATTTCTCGTGGTGAAGCCATTGTCGACACGCACCCAAACTGTAAAATGTTCAAGCAAACAGAGTTCAACAGAATACAAAATGTAGATTAGAGCAACAAAATGGAGAGAATGGATGTACCTTGGGGTCCTTGTACTTCTCTCAGATGGCTTCCTGGTCTGGGCACCTTATTGTCAACTGCAATTCATGTATGACATAAATGGATTTCTGCAGATCAAAGACTTTATACCCCGTGTTTTGTTCAAGTGTCAAGTTCTGCAGAATTATACACACTAAAGTCAGAAAAGAGAACCACACACACTGATGTAAGAAAAGCCTACAGCTCAGATACACCCCCGGTCCCAAAAAGTGCGTCATCCTAGCTATGAATTTGGACAAATATTTGTCTAGCTACTAGAATGATACTCCCTCCGTTCCAAATTATAAGACGTTTTGGCTTTTCTAGATACATAGCTTTTGCTATGTAATTAAATATACAGCTTATACACTATGTCTAGATACATACTAAAAGGATTGTATCTAGAAATGTCAAAACGTCTTATAATTTGGAATGGATGGAGTATTTTCTTGGGGGACGGAGGGTGTAGTTAGCAAGAAAGGCCATGTTGTCTTTACCCAAGGTCGAGTCTTTGGGTGGATTGTGAATCTGGCTACAAACAGGCATGCAGCAGCAAGTACTGAGGGTAGGTAGCTTATGCAGTCATAATCCAGCAAGCTCAATTCCGCAAGGTAGCTACACATGGACTCCAGTTTTCCTCTGTTTATACTCTGTATTTCAATTAAAAAAACAGATTATAAAAGAAAACATTAAGAGAAGTAAATGCACGTGCTCCAAAGTACCACTTACATTGCCTCCACGACACGAAGCTATGAATTTCCTAAAACAGACAGTTATCTAGCATTAGACTCTGAACTTTTTTTAAGTCCAATAGGGCATAATTCTCATATGGTAAGCATTTTACATACAAAGGGAAGTTAGTCAAATGCTATTCTCGAAAAAAACTGATGGAGAAGACATACCATAGAAATGTTGTTACAGTGGGACCCCCAATCTCAAACCTAAGAGATTTCAGTAAGTCAGCCTCCATCTTCACCACCTGTGTTGCATACAGAATAGAAGTGTGTATCTATCTTCTACGGTTCAGAAGAAATAACTATGCAATTGAAAGTTCAGCTGAAGAAAGGCTACTTGCTGCTTGGTGTAAGTGTCATCCGTGATATCAGTGTATCTGTTCACCTTCATCTTAGAAGACTCAATTTCTTCATACTTGCTGCGACATTCGAAATATGCAACTCAAAGAGTAGTTTTAAAAGATGAACAAAAGGGAGGAAACAAACAGTTTAGTCCCCTACGTAGCAACGAGCATTGCAGTGACACCCAGTAGTTGCAGCTTGTCCTGGGCAACGACATTCGTTGTGAGGAAGCGGTCAACATAGGAAATGGCAAGGTGAAGAGTTTCTGCGTGAAGATTGAATTCCTCAGCCACCTCCACCAACCAGTCGACAAGGACAGCCCTCATTTTGGGGGAGATGTATTTCTGGACCTTTTGAAAATAGTCAGGGCTTGGCCTCCTCAACGGTTCAACCTAGCAGTTTTAGAAAGTTTAGAGAAAAGTGGCACCTTAAAGGCTTAAAATCAATCTCCACACAAAAGCTAAGATAATCGAATCGAGCTCCAAAGAGTCATTTTCTTTTGTGGAGGTGTCGTGATCGCGACCTGTGAACCTAGGCATCACAAGTCACAACCTCTAGACAGCAACGTCCGCTACAGCTGCAATACGCAACATCCTATTTTTTTTAACCACTGTCCACTTACCTAGCCAGCAGCAGCTAAAAGCACATAATTCCCAGTAAAATCAAATTGGCCAGATCTCAGCACTCAAGCGTACAACGTGACCACGCCTACGAAATGGCCCCATTACATCATCTACAACTACGATCACACATTCACAGCCCAAATCAACCAAGCCGTAGAACAAAACACGCCCACGCGCAGGTTCACAGACCCATTGGAAAGGGTGGGGCTGTCGAGAGGTTCTCACCTCCAGGGACCGGAGGTACCGGTCGATGTCCCCGACGTACGGCGCGACCGCCGCCTTGGCCGCTTCGGTTCCAGGCGGCCTCGGGTCCAGCGGCCGGCCCACGTCGGCCCGCGCGCGGCGTCTTCGGCCTCCTGCCGCTTCCTCGCCTCATCCGCCTCGGCCTCCGTCCGCGCCGCCGACCGCGTCCTCGGATTGGACGAACGCGGCGCCGAGCCGTGGTTCGTGTTCGGTCCGGTGGACGTGGGGAGCTCGGCCAGGGCCTTGCGCTTCCCGCGCGGCCTATTGAGAGGCGGCGCCGAGTGCGCGGAGTTCTCCTTGCTCTCCATCGCCTCCGACTCCGGCCTCCGCCTCCGGACCCTCATGCTGCTGCCGACCGACGGGATGGTCGCGCGGATTCGTTCCTCCGATTGCCTTGGCTTTCCGCTGGGGTTTGCAGGGTTTGGTTGGGGTCGGGCGATGAGTGAAGCGCCGGCGTTCGTTTGGGGTCTTGGGGAAGCTTGACGCGGTTTGAATTTTGAGATGGCCTTAATGGCGGGCATCTGCAGGGCGAAATGTTAGTATCACTATCACACACATGCAGTCACGTAGCCTGGTGTCACCGACTCGTGGGACCCCATACGAAGCAAATGAACGCGTGAAAGTTTTGGAGGGATCCTGCAATTTTTCCACACGGAAATATCGATTTGACAGGTGCCAGTGCTACCGGGGCCTTATTTAGATTTGGGTTATGAATTAGTATTTGACACTGTAGCACTTTCGTTTGTATTTGATAAATATTGTTCAATCATGATCTAACTAGGCTCAAAAGATTCGTCTCGTAATTTACAATCAAACTGTGTAATTAGTTATTTTTTTATCTGTATTTAATACTCTATGCATGTGTTCAAAGATTTGATGTGATGGAGAGAGAGTGAAAAAAACTTGTAATCTAAACAAGGCCCGGCTGCAATTCTTCGGCTGTGTTTAGTTCACGAATTTTGGGAACGTGACTACTGTAGCACTTTCGTTTTTATTTGGTAATTAGTGTTCAATCATGGAACGTTCGTCTCGTAATTTTCAACCAAACTGTGTAATTCTTTTTTTTCGTCTATATTTAATGCTCCATACACATATCACAAGATTCGATGTGATGGCTACTGCAACATTTTTTAAAAAACTTTTTGGGAACTAAACACGCCCTTCTTCGCATTTGTGCAAAACTGCAAACTCGGACGATCCGTTTGGATGTGATTGTGTCGCCGTGTGCATCGCACTCCATGACACGAAGATGGTGGACCTCCATTGAAAAAAAAGGCCGTGCGAATTGACAGAATGCTATTTTTAGGTGACTTTGTATTCTTTTGATGGTATTTTACGGAGTAGTAAAGTTTTGATGGTATTTTCGGATATGACGATTTTCCAGTGCTATGAGAACGATTTTCTCTACAAAATATAATCCATTGAGGTGGAGAAGCTGATACCCCATCATCCGAAATTTGAAAAACTGCACGACTAGGTCCGTTCCAATGACAGGCCATGTTTAGATTGCAAAAAATTTCAAACCGATGAATAGTAGCACTTTCGTCTTATTTGATAAATATTGTCTAATCGTGGACCAACTAAGCTCAAAAGATTCATCTCGTGATTTCCAACTAAACTGTACAATTAGTTATTTTTTTTACCTACATTTAATGCTCCATACAAACGGCTAAAAATTGATGTGATGAAGAAAGTGAAAAAACTTGGAATTTTGAGGGTATCTAAACAAGGCCACAGTTTCATTAGTATCATTTATCATTTAATGAGGTAAGTAAAGATGGATGATGTGGCACAGAAATCATGAGAGAAAGTACATAAGTTTCATATGGATAAAACCTGGGCACGTTGTTTTTTTTATCGAACACGCAGGAGATACCCCAACTTGTTTTTTTTTATCGAACACGCAGCCTAAGGCCTGTTCGCTTCTCTTATAATCCGTCTTTTTCAGCTTGTTTTTTCAACCGGAACCGTGTTTTTCTTTCACAACAAATCAGTCGGAACAGTGTTTCGGCTTGTTTTTTCAGCGAAGTGAACGGGCCTTAAAGGCTTTCGCCCTGTTCATTTGGACTTGTTTGGCTTATAAGCCGTACTTTTTCAGCCAACGAACAATATTTTTCTCTCACACCAAATCAACCAGCAGTACTTTCAGCCATGACTTATCAGCTAAACAAGTCCAAACGAACAAACGAACAAGACGTTTGTTGTTGTTGTTGAACACGCAGGAGAGCTACATATCATTGTATTAATAGAAGAAGAGAGAGTCGTACATAGACCCAAGCCCCCCCTCCCCTCCCACACACACACCCACTGCTAGTACTACTTCATGAGAACTGAATCACCGGTTTAAAACAAAAAGGAGGACCCGACATCTACAGCAGTCTTTCAAACTGCTCCTCCAGCCGTGAGCATGGAGATCCCCTTGGCTCCTGCCATGCTCCACCAATAGGCCTCTTCCCAAGCCAAAGCTAGTACTGTATTTACATTTGGGGTTGCACCATTGAAAACACAATCATTTTTGTGCCACCAAATGCTTCAGGCTCTCAAAATGACTAGAGAATTCAGACCCTTCCTCAAATCTCCACTAGCAACGTTATCCACCTTTCTTCACCATTCATCGAAGGACTGATCAGAAGGTTGTGGAGTAAGTGACGCAAAACCAAAATGCAACAGGAGGGAGAACAAAAAATCTCTTTGAGAACACACAGCCCACAAGCAGATGCTGAATATTTTCTTCCTGTTGATCATAGAGAAGGCACTGTTCTAGATGAGGGAGACCCCTTCTTGCCAATCTATCTGCTGTCCAACATCTATTGTGAGCAAGTAGCCACATAAAAAATCTGCATTTGGGGGTGTGATTTCCAGATTCTCTCATAAGCTTCAAAGGAGACTGCTCCCTAAAAAAGGGTATCGTAAGCACGTATTGGAAACTGAATGAAACTCCACTTAACATGCTCAAATAGTTCACATATTAGTAAGCAGGCTATAGTGCTGTGACCGGAAGGTCCCGGGTTGGAGTCGCGGCCTTCTCGCGTTGCACAGGCGAGGATAAGGCTTGCCACTAACACCTTTCCCCAGATCCCGCACGGAGCGGGAGCTCTCTGCACTGGGTACACCCCTTTTTTTTATTATTAGTAAGCAGGCTATAGTGCTCGTCCATCAAATGGATCTTTGGTAAAAAGAATCCATGGCATTGATGATATATTTATTATAATATAATTGGAGTAACGAACAGGGCATATGTCATTGTTAGCTTGTCAGCAACGCCAGAGCAACATGACTAGTAAGTTTTGGTGCGCAAGGTAAATCTTGATTCTTGAAACTTGAAAAATTTCAGGGAAGACACCCGAGTACAGAACTCAGAAATATCCAAAGTACTTTGTCGATCAGTTTTTTTTTTTTGTGACACTAGCTCGTGATCGAAGGGCGGGCCTGGTGCAAGCGGTAGAGTCTTATTGCCTATGACCGGAAGGTCCCGGGTTCGAGTCGCGGTCTCCTCGCACTGCATAAGTATGTTTATCCTTCTAAATGCAATATTGCTGGGATTTTGCTCTCAACCAGAAGCACCTCTCAGCGTCCTCCAATTTCCCCTTATCACACATCAGATCAAACAGCACATCTGATGCCAACATGAATGATCCAAACTTGTTGCTGACAATATCACTCCAAAGCTCAACCATTGGATGAATCTTGAAACTTGAAAACTTTCAGGGAAGGCATCGGAGTACAGAACTCAGAAAAATCCATAAGTGTTGATCTAGTCAACAAAATAATTTATTGCCATTAATTCACGATCGTCATCATCCAAATGTATGCACTAAGCTGCTCTCGATATATCAGCATCAGCTGCATCACCATTGCTAGGCCTGCTTTCAACAGAGTGTTGGACTCTTTGACAATCTTCAGGTGCCAGTCGACCAAATTGTGCCATCATTTCAGTTAACCTGGCAATTGATTCTTCCTGCTTGGCAAGCTGCATAAGTATCTTTATCCTTCTAAACGCAACATTACTGGGCCTTTGCCCTAACTCAACCATTTGACAGAAGCACCTCTCAGCGTCCTCCAACTTCCCCTCATCACACAGCAGGTCAAACAGCACATCTGACACCAACGTGAATGATCCAAACCTGTTGCTGACCATATCACTCCATAGCTCAAGTGCCTGTACCACCTTCCTGTACCGGTGGCACAACCTGATAATGAACATGCAAGACTGCGTGTTTGGGAAACATCCTTCAGACCGCATACGCTCATATAGCCGCCATGTGCTGCCAACGTCGAAAGCCCAGTAATAGCACCTGAAGAAAAGGTTATAAGTTGTGGGATTCGGCATCAGTCCCTTTGAGGCCATTTGATCCATCAGCGCGAATGCATCCCCAAGCCTCTTCGCTATAACAAAATTCCTTATCGCTGCGTTGTATGCAGGGACATCTGGGTAGCACCCTAGCTCATGCATCTCCTTGAGCAAATCTTTTGCCTTGTCAGGTTGGCCAATCAACCCCAGCCCACCAATCAAGCTTGTGTAAGTGATAATATCAGGGGAAATGTCTTTCTCCCGCATTTCGTCGAGCAGCTTGTAGGCCTTCTCCACGTCCCGGTTCTTGCAGTGGCAATCGATCAAGCTATTGTAGGTCACCAGGTCGGGCTCCACCCCGAGCTCCCGCATCTCGGCGACGAACGCCTCGGCGTCCTCGGCCGACTTCCAGCCAGAGAGGAGGATGTTGAAGGTGTGGCGGTTCACCCGGAACTCGTACTTGAGCACGTGGAAGACGTTGCGCGCGTCGGACATGCTCTTCTCCTGGCAGAGCGTGCGGAGCAGCGCGTTGAAGAGGCCGGCCGGGTCGACGGCGCGGAACATCCGCGCGAGGCGGCGGAAGGAGGCGACGGTCTCGTGGACGGAGCAGACCTTGGCGACGCGGCCGAGGACGATCATGGCGGTGCGCGGGGTGACGGCGTCCGGGCAGATGCGGCGGGTGGTCGCGAGGAGGTCCCACATGTGCGGGAACCGGCGGGCCCGGCCGAGCACGTAGAGCGCGGTGTCGATGGCGTAGGGCGACGGCGCAACGCCGCCGCGGTCGGCGGCGAGGGAGAGGAGCGAGAGCGCGCGGAGCGGGTCCCCGTGCGCGAAGCGGAAGCGGCGCATGACGGCGTCGAGGAGCGGGGACGAGAGCGGGACGGCGGACGCCGCGAGCGCGGACTCCATCGCGGACGGCGTGGCCGCGGACGTGACGATGCGGTACACCTCGTCGGCGTCGGCGTCGGCATCGGACGCGGGGCCTTCGTGGATGGCGGCGGCAGCGGATGCGGCAGCGGGCGGCGGCGGCGGCGGAGGCGGTGGCTTGCGCGACTTGTTGGAGATGTATTGGAAGAGCCGGGGCGCGGGTTTGGGCGGCATTTTGCGCGATCGCGAGGGGGACGGTGGTTCGCGGGTATTTGACGTCGTCGGCGCGGAGGCGGAGCGGCTTCTGCTGCAGCGGGCAGTCCGGCACCCGGCAGCTGCAGGGGAACTGAGGAGCAGAGGGGGCTATACTTTACCTGTAGCGGGCCAGCTGGAACTCATGATGGGTTCAAATTTGCTGGGCTTCTTTTTGGGCCTCGCCGCCCCGCTGGTGAAATTCTTCCGGGCCTTGTGCGGATATGGGCTTCCGTTCCGCGCAGCACCAAGCCTAGGATTGGGTTGGGGGTCGACTTCGACGGGCGCTGGCGCTGATCGGCATTCATAGGCTGACGGCAGGAGAAGTGAGTACGAGTAGGACCGCCGCCGGCCGGTGCACGCGTCGCCATCACGATGTCGACATGATTTTCACTCCTCATCCGGTGGCTGCGTTCCATATAAAGTGAGCGCAGTTTTCTTCACTCCTTTGGTATCCAGATGACCTGATCTTTTTAGATGATGATGTATCGGATATATAGGACCAGGGATAGCCTCCTAGAGTGTCCCATTTGTACGACCAATCCAAACTGACGTGTGTGGTGCAGCCTACATGGATCGTGCACGAATAGGATCGCGGTTCCCAAAGCAGAAAAACAAAGTAAACAATGTCCGCTTCCTCTTGACTTCCTTTTCCACGATGGAACAAAAATTGTCTTGGCATAAAGAATTTTGGGCACGACAAGAGTCCGTTCCTGTCATGCCTGCCATATGTGGCGTGTCCAAACAAACTCCATCAGCAGCAGCCGGCGACGACGGCGATTGGGGTCAAGATTGTCTCCTCTCATCGTAAAGTAATTTGAGTGCTACTGTACTACAGTATACAACAAGAGTGCGCTCCAGTCACGCCTGGCTCCTCAGAGAAACAAAGAGGCCAATCTATCTGCACTCTGCCGTCGCAGTTCTCCTGTTCCTCGCCGAGCAGCTGACCGCCAGCCATGCGCCATGGATATGGACCTAGCATATGCTGTTTGTGTTGTGCCGATCCGTTCACCGGAAAGGTATGGATAGATGACAAGTAATGGTGTCGTTGAAAGTGCTTGAGAACGATAGCCTGCAGTGGATGGGGACCGAGGTGGGTGACCAGTACACAGGAATTAACACTACTGTGAGTGACACTGCACATCCATTGCAGTTGTTAATTGTTATGGGGACACTAATGAGACTTTTTTTTTTCTGGCCACACCGAGCGGCACGTATCATTACCGTACTCCAGCGTAAATTACTTGGTTTCGACTTTCGAATGATTATTTGAGTTGATTATTGTCCCGTAGGTTGCAAAGCTGATACTAGTTCATTAGCTGTCTCCAACTGTAAAATAATATCAAGTTGCCCAGAAAAACTCAAAAATGTAGAATCCATGCCACTCCATGCACAAGGTAAGAAAAGGCATATATCTACCGAACTCGTTAACAATCAATCATACATACGGCGACTTGACCAGATGTTACTGCTGGCTGCCATCGCAGTCTACCAGATTCTACCGGCGTACATGGGCGCCTGTAACTTGCATCGAACTGTGGAACAGTGGAAGCAGACCACTCGTTGGAGAGAACACAAAACAGTTTTCAGTGGAACCGTGGAAGCAGACCACTCGTTGGAGAGAACACAAAACAGTTTCAGGGTTTCCAGCTTTCACGGCAATACCAATTATAGGCACGCGCGTACTACTAGATCAGAACAGAGTAGAGAGAGTAGTCCATCGAAGCCAGGACACGAGGCGATCCCGTGGCGCCACGCCGCCGACACGGTCAGGCCGGTGGCGAGCGCGCTCGCCTTGCGGGCGGGGCACGTTCTTTTGGCGACTCCACGGCCGCTGGTCGCCGGGCCCCACAGGGAACGCCTCATCACGCGTATCTGCCACGTCGTCCGTTTTGAACTGCCCCGTGGGCCATCCTGCCATGATGCCCGATCGGAAGTCCTCGCGCAGTCTAGCGCGATGATGGAACGGATTTGTATAGCTTACCATACCAACCACGATGCAGCATTATTCAATCTTCAACCTTGCACTACTGGCTGTTCTTGTTCGGATCGGATGGCATCTCAACGTTGAGCGTGCGCTCGTGTCGTCGGCCATCTCCATCTGATTGTCTATCTGTCAGGCCATTGGTACAACGTGGTTTTCTTCTGCATCCTTCGGCCTCGTTTAGATTATAAATTTTTTTTTAATCTGAGACACTGTAGCACGTTTCGTTTGTATTTGACAAACTTTGTCCGATCATGGATTAACTAGGCTCAAAAGATTCGTTTCGTGATTTACAACCAAACTGTGTAATTTGTTATTTTTTACCTATATTTAATGCTCCATACATGCGTCTAAAAATTGATGTGATAGAGAAAGTGAAAAAAACTTAGAATTTGAAGGTGATCTAAACAAGGCCTTTCATATACTAAGTTCATATAGTAGGATTGCTTCGCCGTATCCAATGGAGACATCGACTCATCGAGTTTTTTTATTAGGTATAATTTGGATACACACAACTCATGCATTCTACACGCACACGTATACGTGCGTATTCGTACACATGTAAAGAAGAGATTATAAGACTCTAACCTCCAAGGCGTAGAAAACGCGCAATATCACCGAACGTGCGCGCGCATGCGTATGCCCTATATTTCATAGAAAAATTCAAAAAAAAAGATGCGAATATCTGGATTTAAATCTTAGCGTCCCACTATACAGTCCTACCACTGCACTATGTTGGATATATTATGGGCTTGACCCGTATAATATTTAATAAATCAAATAAAACTCTATGATACGTAACATTAAGCGTTGTATGGTTTAACACCATATGAGATTTTGACTGAACGTTTACTCAACTTATATGGTTGGAAATTATCCATCTTAATTGAGAAGCTGAGAAAAGGACAAATGAGTGCCACACGCGCGCACGCGCCGCCGCCGCCGACCGGGCCGAGGCCGAGGCTGTGGCGTGGCGAGGCAGGCGAGCGGGCGAACGTGGCCAGATTTTGCCACTTAATCCACATAATCACGGGAGTTCTCTCTCCTTGACGGTGAAGACGAACTGATTGCGCCAGTTACCGTCTCTTCCGCTCTCCATCTCCTGGGATTCTCCGCTCCCTTCCCGTCGCAGCCATAAATTCGTCGTCCTCCATCGGTCCAAGAGCTTCTGCTTCGCTTCCAAGAGAGACCATATCTCAGCAGCCCTCTAGCTTCCCCGTCCTGTACCTCTGCGCGCACGGAGAAGCGGGAGAGCATGTGCCTCTAGAACCCTCGTTCACCTGCGAACCTTGCACGGGGTGTGCGGCGATTAGGTTTTTGAGGAGCGATTCCGTGACTGCTCGTTCGACATCTTCTTCTTCGTGGAACCCGTCTTTTTTCTGGTGATCGCTCGCGGAACCCGTCTTCTTTCTGGTGATCCGTTCGTGGGACTACACTGTGAACACTGTCCTGCATCAACTATGGTCCACGACTTCAAACAACGCACTATGTCGACTAGTGCGAATGGAGCCTCCGATGTCCTCGGCATGGGATCCTCCGCTGGGTACAATCTTATCTCTGTGATTACCGTATTTTGCGTTCTTATTGTATCCATCTGTATGTCATGTCTGCATGTAGTAGCGTTCGTTAGAGATATACACATGCACATATATGTTATCACGAACCTGCTAATGTTATATTTCTAGATCAAATTGACCATGAAAATACATAATTATCTAATAATCTAAAAACCCAATCTTAGGCAATTTTCTATCAGTGGTTTTGCTGCTGCTTTGAAGCTAAATAATTTTGATGGCAAGAATTTCATGATATGGCATGCCAAGATGGTATTGTGGTTGACAGCGATGAATTGCTATCACGCCGCACAGGGAAAGCCTGAACAGTTTACTCCTGAGGAGGAGTAAAAGTTCTTGGCTCCCAATAACCTGTTTTGAGGCGCCGTGATTAGTGCACTTCATCCTAAGTATGAGAAAAACTATATATCTTGCACATCAGGCAAAAAGTTATGGGATGCTCTTGAGGCAAAGTTTAGAGTTTCTGATGCTGACAGTGAGTTGTACCTTATGGAGCAGCTGTATGACTACAAAATAGTTGAAAACTGTTCTGTAGTGGAACAGGCTCATGAGATATAGGCGCTAGCAAAGGAACTAGAACATTTTCCATGCCTGTTGCCCGACAAGTTTGTGGCCGGCGGTATAATCGCTAAGCTGCCACCTTCTTGGAGGGATTTTGCTACTTCTCTAAAATACAAGAGACAAGAGTTTAGCGTGGCTAAACTTATTGGACCTCTTGATGTTGAGGAGAGGGCGAGAGCAAAAGACAACCGTAGAAAAGGAGTTGAGTCTTTCGCTGCCAATATGGTGCAGAAGAAAAACTCATTTGCATCCCGTAATAAAAAGAAGAAGAACATGTAAGAGAACAACAATACAAAGCCTAAGCAGACTGCTCAGTTTAAGAAGAAAAATAAGAAGAAAGGTAGAGGTTGCTTTATTTGTGGGAGTGATGAGCATTGGGCAAGTGCGTGCCCAGACCACAAATATAAACAAGAAAAAAATCAGCAAATGTGGTGATTAGTAAGACTAGAGGAGGAACATCTGGGTATGGTACTTCTTTACCTTTTGTTCTTTCAGTTTGTCTTTCGCCTGAGTGGTGGATGGATAGCGGTGCTAATATTCATGTGTGTGCTAATGTTTCTTTGTTTACTTCCTATCAGGCCGGCAGGACTAGAGCCTTGCTGATGGGAAACGGTTCGCATGCACGTGTTCTTGGTGCTGGTACGGTCGTTCTGAAGTTTCATTCGGGAAAGATGGTTCTATTAAAGAACGTGCAGCATGTCCCCTCCATCAAGAAGAATCTTGTTAGCGGTTCTCAAATATGTCGCGATGGCTTTAAAATTGTGCTTGAGTCCAATAAGTGTGTTGTGTCGAGACATGGAACATTTGTTAGAAAATGTTATGATTGCGGAGGCTTGTTCCACTTATCTTTGCTTGATGATGTG